CTTTTTTATGTTCAACACCTTTTATATCCGTTTAAAAACACATTTTTGTGTGGATTTTGTGTGTGGATTTTACTAGAAAACGTTGATTAAAAGCACAAAATGTAACTTTTCTGTTTCTAAGGACTCTCAAGCAATGGAAGTCACCAAACTTTGGCGCCGTTTTCTCGCAAATTTTAGCTCTGAATATATACACACATGTGAGGCATCGTGGCGAAATCAGGCGCTCGTCCAAATAATAAACAAAGAACCGGCATTTTTCTAGCCGCTGGGCAAATATTTTTTAGAATGTTCATTTTTTGTGCTCGACACCTTTTATATCCATTAAAATACATATCACATTTGAATGTTACTGAAAAACGTTGATTAAAGGCACAAAATGTAAATTTGCTGTTTCCAAGGACTCTCACGCTTTGGAAGTCACCAAATTTTGGCGGCCATTTCTCGCTATTTTTAACTACAGTCACCAGGCGATCCCCACCTTCTTCAATCTCGAATATGTGGGTGGTTGGTGAGTGCTCTGGTGTGGTTTGCTCCTTCTTTCCTATCAAACACCTATCGTCCTTATCTCCCCTTCTTCTTGCACCCATATGACCTTATTGTGTTGCAAGTGCCATAAAACCTCTACTAAAACAAATCTCGAATCAATCGACTTCTGTTCTTGAAATAATGGATACTTTTTTTCTTCAAAAGCTGAGGCAAATGAACAAGCTTTAAGATGATACATAGATCTCAACATACCCAAAAATTGAATTAACGAAGGCCTGATTCCACCGTGCCGGCTCACATGTACCGGCGCTCGTGCGTGGCGACACTGTCATTGACATCTTCTTTCTCGCGGATCAATAGCTATCTCGATCAATAATACATGCAACTTTCTCCCATGACTTTGCCGCCTCCGCGAAGTTTTGTCCGTCTCTAGACGTGCAATGCGGTCTGCGGGCCCCGAATAGGCCTATTGTGTTCTCAGTTTCTTATCGAAAGGGGCGAGGGTGACGAAATAGAAAGAGGAAAAAGGAAAATTGAATTGAAATTAATATATGAGTCGAAGGAGTATGTAATCGTTTAGTTGTCCCTTTCTTCTGATATTGTATGGTAATTCAAGGTGTGTCTCGAAAGGACCAAAGCAGTAGGAATGAAAGAGAGGGGGATATATAGATGGATAGACAGAGGGATAGATAGATGGATAGAGAGAGGGATAGAGAGAGAGAGGGAGAGAGAGAGAGAGAAAGAGAGAGAGAAGAGGGGGGGGGGTTGCGTAGTGGTGTAGGAATTTGCAGCCAAGGTCTTTGACTATGTATGATACTGATTTAAACTTCATTGCTCCAATTATATGTTTCTTTGTTGGGTTGTTGTTGTTCGGTCTGTTTTTGCTTTTTGGTTGTTGTTTGTTTTGTTTGTTGTTGTTGATTTTTGTTTGTTTGGTTGTTGTTGGGGG